ACTACATACTACATAGATATGAAACTCTGTAATTATACGTACATCCCCACGAATGGACAGACCTAGTGTGGGCCCCACGTCTATGTACCCCCACTAGGGCATACACCGCCGTTCGATCCGGAACGCTGCATCCTGGCCACACGTATAATCATGACATGTGTACCAGAATGGGTAAATAGCACTTAACCCCCTGTGGTTTGAGCTTTGTGCACATTAACCCCCTGTTGTTTGAACTTTATGCATATAAGCCCCTTGTAATTTTAATATAAGCACATAAAGCCCCCATGATATTCCACTTTGCAAATAATCATGCTCATTAGGAAGATGAAATTTTTGAAAGTACAATAAGGTTATGTGTTTATATAAAATACAAGGGGTCATATGCTATATTGAAAATACAAGGAGGTCATGTGTACAAAGTTTAGACTACATAGTCTATTTATGAAAATTCCCTTATTTTTCCATAATTACATCCACCCCTTATAATTTGTAGATTTCTGACATTAACACCCTTTTGTAGGGGTGAATGTAAGAATTTTACAAACCATATGTGGCTGGATGTAATTTCTAAAAAAATGGTGTTTTGTTTGTAACTATAATTTACATTAGGGAGATGGTTGTAATTTACCATTTAAGTGAATTTGTTAATGGATCAATCACATTGATATACCGATTTGGGCAGCCGAATAGGCTGGTCAATTATTCTTCAATCAAATCGATAAATAAAGTCCAAAAAACAAATCATTTGCGAATAATTAAGCTAATCCTCTAATAATGATTCTAATAATTAAATTATAAATAACCATTTTAATTTTAGATAGATGTTATTTTTAGGCTTACTTTGCATGTAAAAGGCTCTGCCTAGAACATCTTCTTTCAGTATGAAGAGAGCTTGAATGCTAGAATTACTCCGAATGTATGTGGCATAATCGATGGTGAAAATTGGAAGAGATATTTTCGAATTCCGTTCATCCCGATTTTGTAACAAAATTGAAATACATATGAGTTTTCGATTTTCAATCCAATTTCAGTTTAAAAAATAATTAATTATTAATATTCCATTTCTTATTCAAAAATCACTCTTATACTATTAATATTTATACTATAGGTGAACTAAAAATTAAATTGCCGATTTCACACATTTTCTATCCGATTTTTTTTTTTAATAATAATAAGATTCTTGCATTCGAAATTCCAAAACTTCGATATATCGATATATTCCATTTTTTAAGAATAACAACTACCACTGAACTTAAATTTTCACACACGGTGAACATTTTTCTATCAGAAAGTGCAAATACTTACCCAATCGATCCGATATTCATTTTTTTTTCGATAATTAATTAATCCCTTCCATATTCACCTCCAGCATTTTTTCATGAATAAAATAAAATATATTTAGATAATAAATAATATATATTAATATTAATAATATAATGCAATAATGGGATGAAAAGTAGTCAGCTTTTGAATAGGCCAATATTCTTCTCGGGATTGGCGGAAAAGACTTCCAATTCTCCTATAAATACTGCCCTCTCCTCTCCTTCTTAACCTACACTTTCTTTTCTCTCTCTCTACCCCTCTCTTTCTCTCTCTAAATATATATATAAATATATATATATTCATATATGTATGTTTGT